AGTACTTTCGTTACTAATTAAATGAAAAAAATAATAATTGTATTTGGTGCAGGAGGATCATTAATGAATTTTTTTTGGAGAAAGATGCACTGAGTGACATTGTAATGAAAGTTTAGATGGTCTACTTTTTAATCCAGCAAGAAAAAAATGTATACAATTTTAGATTAGCTTCTGCAACAGTTTCTTTCGTTTTGGGTGGTCCAATTGCCAGCATTGAAAGTCGGCGTAGGTGGATTTTTCAATGAAAATATAAGTCCCCAAATAAAATGCTGATCATTTTTTGAAATTTTGAACCCCAAACAAGGGCGATTTTTCGGGTGGGCGAATTTTATGGCAGAATCTGGTACAAAATTATTGATTGAAAATTAAAAAAGAAAAAAAGTTATTAAACTATAAACTGTGTTAACCAACTAGGTCCTTACAGCAAGTTGACTTACCATGGTACCACCATTTTGTTTTCTTTGGGTTTTTACTACAGGTCCTCACATAAAATGTATTATCTGGTGGACGTTTCTACAAAAAAACAAACACAAAATACTATTGGTTAGACATAACCACAAAAAAAAAAAAATTGTATCAGATGATTATGACATACTGTTTTACCTACCTTTTCTTTACAGCTACTAAGCATACTGACTATGCTAAGGCACACAGACTGTACAGATAACGCTGGTGACCAATCTTCTGTAAGTATTGATAAACAGATATGCCCATTACTGTAAACATGGGGATGAACTGGAATGGTGGTACCCATAAACACAACCTAAAATCCAATAAAGAAAAAAAACTGTAAAATAATTTTCACTGAAAAGGCTTTTTTGGTGTTTTTTTATTCTTGGCAAGGTTGAATGTGAAATATGGGAAAAAAAGGTATATTTGCTGGATTTTATTTTCACTGAATCATTTCTTCAGCAAAAATAGAAAAAATTTATTCCAAGCAAAAATAAAAAATATTTTACAGTGTACAAACACTGAATATAAGGCAATTAAGATAAATATGTGAAATCAAAGACATGTACTATGCGTAATACTCAAACCAACATGGAAGCGACATATGGAACCAAATCACCAAACTATACATCAATTTGAAAGCACAACTTTCCCTTGGTCATCAGTCATCCCAAATAAATATGCCTAATAACCAAGCTTACTATGTATTGAGAAGAATAGCCTTGGCGCAAAGACTCAAGATGACAGTGAAGAGACAAAAGATGGTTGTCAGACAGCCATCTTTAAGGTAGATACAATTTCACACTATGAGCATGATACTGCATATACTGTAAAACATGTTGAAAAAGCAACATACAATTTTAGTGAATTGTGGTAAAATGACGTAATAGCGAAATGTTGATTTAACGAATCTCTCTTGTCTTTGTTGATTTCCTGTTTTCACAATACTTGTCTGTCGCCTGCCAAAACAAATGTGCAGTTATCACCTCCATAAAAACAAAACTGTCAAGTGCAATAAGGAAGCAGTCCAGATTATTACGTTTTAAGTGTTGTTTACAAAGTGTGTGTGTGGAGAAATAAAACATTGTTTGGCCGCCATTTTGAATTTATAATGAAGTCATCATAAATTAGCGAATTAGTTCTCTTGCTATCTTCATTAAAAAGACATGCTCGTAATGGGAGAGAATTTAGCGTTGTATACAATGGAAAACTATTAACCACAATGAAAACTGGCCAAATTAAATGTCATTTTTTTAAAATATTTCCAATATTAGGATTTATACATGTATCAATAATCATAAGACTTGTTCATTCTCTGTCCCAGATTACAATTTTTAGATATGAAGAAATAATTTCACCATGGAAACCAAAGCAAAGATGCAAAATTATTTTTCATGACATTTTGGATTCCTGTGACCCGAATTTATATTTTTTTTCAGTATCCTAATTCAGAGTTATATAGCACGAAAACTTAAAGTGCCTGTCTAAAAGACTTCATCAAAATGATAAATAGCAGTTGCTAGTCTGTTTCACTTGCAGTGATGGTGATGCCTTGCAAACCAAAAGTGGTATAATCTGCATAGTGTAGGCACGAAATGACAACACTGTCATAACTAAAGTTACTGTCATTTGACTGCAGCTGAGCAAAGCTTAAATCTCTTAAAATAGCCTGGAAATTTCATAAATTTAATCCACAAATTTGGAAAAATAAAAAGTCAGAGACTGAAGTCAGTAAAGTCACAATAGTCGCTAGTGGATTGTATTTTAATCACATGTAGGAAACTCTACACAAGACCATATGGTCGCAGTAAAACAAACATATGATGCTGCATGTTAATTGTAATGAAGATAAACACATTTCCTGTACAATGTCTATTAATAGTA